ATAGAGACGAAAAAAAAAGTTTGTATGGAAAGTAACCTTACAGGGTGATCTGATCACAAATTCCTAACTGGGCAGGTCAGGTGGGAAGTCACACCCCAGGCATATAACTTCTTCAGTAAAAGGTTTATTTTTGCCTAAGCAAGCCCTATTGTTACTGTGCACCTAGGTTAGCACACCTTTGAAATAAGCCATAACCAACAGCAAGAAAGCACATAATCTTAAATATGTCATAATCCAATCCCTGCTTTGCTTTTCTCCCAATTTAATGTAATCTTCTTTAAGTTCCCTTCTTAATTTCAAATGCATAAAAGAAACCGCAAAATTATTATTTTCAAGAGCATTTGCAATCTTGCTCTCCAGCATATGTTGTGAGTTTGGCTCAAATAAACTTTTATAAAAATTCTTTATGGGTTGAACGTTCTATCATCGACAACAAATAGAAGTTGAGTAGAGAAAGAAGAGCCAGCAAAAAGAAACATTTTTGTTTTGAGTTTATTGTGTCGACGTAAGAAACGTCCAAACTTATAGAGAATTTTTGAGTTAATTTGAGCCAAAAGTGATGACAATTGCCAGAGAGCAAGATCTCAAATGCTCTGGAGAATGACAGCAGTTTCTTTTATGCATTTGAAATTAAGGAGGGAATGTAAGAAAAATCATTTGAAGGTGAAAGCATGGTAGGGATTGGATTACAGGATAGTTAACAAGATTTTGTGTTCCCTTGAGGGTGGTTAAGCCTCCCAAGGGTCTGAAAAAGGATTACTCTTGCATTTCAAAGGTGTGTTAACCTAGATGCACAAGAACAATGGACAAGGCTGGCTTTAGGCAAAAATAAACATTTTCCTAAAAAACTTATATGCCTGCGGGTGACTGACTACCCATCATGACCTGCCCAGTTAGGAATTTATGATCAGATCACCCTGTGAAGTTACTGTTACTGGACTTGTCAATTTTATTACAAAACTCCTTTTTTTTGTTCACAATTGTCATTGCTGTTATTATTTGTTACTGGATGGAAGGACCTATGGGGCCAGGACCTCGTCTCTTTTATGCTCTAGTGAACCCTGGAGCTGAGAGCTTTACTACATTTAGGTATTAACCTACATGCCACAGATAAATTGGGGAAAGTGATTCAGAATAATCTATGTTTGAGAAGTAATATATTAACCACCAGCTCTTTCACCCCTGAAAACCGACATGAATACAAATAAGGAAGCCTCTGAAATCTTCAAAGAAGCACTTTAATCTGATTATGATTATGGATAGAAAACAGGTACATGCTTATTGCATATTAGCCTAAAGCAGGGGTCCCCAATCCCCGGGCTGCAGACTGGTACTGGTCTGTGGCCTGTTAGCAACTAGACTGCACACAGCACAGGAGGTGAGCGGCAAGCCAGTAAGCAAGCCAAGTTTCATCTGTGTTTGCAGCTGCTCCCCAGCGGTAGCATCTCCGGCTCAGCTTCACCTTAGATTATCAGGCATTAAATTCTCATAGGAGCACAGGTCCTAGGTGCCAGAAAGGTTGGGGACCGCTGGTCTAAAGGCAGAAGAGGAAAAACAGTCAGTAGAAGTATTGTAGCATTCATAATTAAAACCAGAAATTCATATAAAAATCCTTCTAAGGAGTTCATATCCCACTTGCTGTCACATTTCTATAACATAAGTAGGATACCAGCTGGTAGTAACACTAATTCATCTGCCTTTCATTTACTGTTTGCCACTTCACAGATGTTCAATCTTATCTATTTCTTTTTCATTTTTATTCCCTTTTATTTCAAATGCCCTAACCGTCTTATAAAATTACCATACTACCATATCCTTTGGGTAGTGGTTCTCAACAAATGAGGATTTTGACCCCCAAAGGACATTTGTCAATGTCTGGAAACATCTTTAGTTCTCAAAACTGGAGATGAGGATAAGGAATTTTGCTAAACATCCTACAGTTCCCAGGACAGTCCTCCATAGCAAAGAACTGTCTAGCTGATATGTATATGAACTTTCTGGGGCAAAGTCTACAGTTTTTAACAAATTTTCAAAGGTGGTATAACTAAAAAATTTAAGAACCACTGGCTTTAATGGATATTTCATTTAGGCCTTGGTAACAAGTGACACATTAATTCTATTTCACAAGAGAAATCACCTCTGGTTAAAAAGACTCATTTCTGCTGGCCAGATTTCTCTGCCACTGTCCACTCTCATTGCTAAACAAACACAGGTCCTCAAAGTATCACGTCCACCCACTAGCCAGGTTAATACAATTATTATGGTTATGCTATTAATGATTAAGCTATAGTTTCATATGTAAATAAAAGTCCTGCTTTCTTTAGACATATCCAGTTCATTTGTTCAATATCCACTTATTTAATGCCTACTATGTTTGAACACTGATAGGTAGGTACTGAGTAAATAATGATGAAAATGAGCTTACATTTGAGTCCTGGAAAGATATTAATAAAATGTAAACATGCAATTTAAAACTTCAATATGGGAGGAGGAGTGTATAAAGTGAAGATGCGTATAAAGTGAAGGTGCGAGGAGCTGAAATAACGCTGAAAATGCAGGACTGCACAACTAAATCACTGCATGCCACCCAAATAAGCAGCTAACGACTTCCTGGCTATTTTAAACAATTCTGTGGTATCTATATCCCAGTCCAGGTAGCTGGAGTTGTATTTATATTCAACTCACGTCTGGACATTGACAGGTAAATTTGAGTAGATGCTGTGTGCAAGCTGAGATGGTCGAATGCAAAAGCTTCCTTTTTTTTATTGTTGCTGTTAGATCTGCCTAGAAATTATTGTGTGTGTACAGGGTACGGGGGATGCAGATTAAAGCCAGTGTTTCAAACATTTCCGGATAAGTCACTGCAATCACCATCGCTCTTGGCAGATATTGGGAGTTAAATGTCATGGCCTGTAAATCAAGACACAAAAAATCGACTTAACCATTCCAATGGTAGCAACTCAGTACATTGTTAGTAGTCAGCCTAAACCTGTCAGGAAGGCCTAGCCAGCAATTTTCAGCGAGGCAGTGAGGCTTTATCTTGCACTCACTAAAACCCCGACTGGTAAAGTAACCCGGGTTTCCGTGGAAACGAGGTAAAGCGCGGCTGGTGAGAGAACAAAGGCTGCGCGGCCCTGTTAAAGGCCACCCCGTCCGCTGGCCTCACGGCGGGTGGGGGTGGCGCTGCGCACGGGTGGCGGGCTCCCGGGTCGGTGACCCTCACCGCCCCAGTGATCCTCTAAGGGCCCTTCCCCGGGCCGGTGCAGAGGACAACGCGAAGAAGGGAGGAGCGTGAGAAGGGACGCGGGGGCCGAGGTCCGGCTGCCGCCCGAGTGAGCGACTTGTGAAACACGCCGCAGGCTGTGGCCCGGCAGGACCGAGATCACGCGGCTCCTAGGGCTCGCTGAAGCCGCCCAGCTAAAGCACGCGGGAGAGGAGGGGCGGCGGGACAGACGGCGACGTCTCCGGCCGCTTCCGTCCCGTACGGTGCGCCGTCGCGGCCAGGCCCGCCCCCTCGCGCTTACGTAACAAGGCAGCGCT